CTTTGGTTCCTTTGTTCCTGATTTGTCTCTTTTACGTTAAATCTGTAACTTTTTGATGAGATTTTGTAAGCCTACTTTTTGATGTTAATTAAGTTTACTTCATTATTATTTTAATATATTATTCTTGTGCATGTAATCAATTTCTATTTATATTTTTGTATTTCAAATTTTTATATCAATCGTTGAATATTTTTAAAACTTAATTTCGCAAGCCAGTTTTTCAACTGCAATGAATTATTTTATGTATATATTTTATTTTGATGTGAATAAATATATTAAGATATATGGATGAGAGCGATGGCATAGCATACTACACAGTTATCGGTTGTACAATATAGACCAGAAATTATGAACTTCCAGAAAAGTATGCTTCTGAACACGGCAAGGATCCTCAAGAAGGTCCTAGAAGTTTGAGGATACTTGTTGTCACCAAGCTTCAGGAATAGTGTAATTCCATCGGATATTGATCCAATGTGCGATACCAATAATAATAATAATAATAACAACAGCAGCAGCAGCAGCAGCAGCAGCAGCAGCAGCAGCAGCAGCAGCAGCAGCAGCGGCGGCGGCGGCGGCGGCGGCGGCGGCGGCAGCAGCAGCAGCAGCAAAAAAAATTGGTGACAAAATAAACCGTGTACAGTAAACGGAACATTGCTATTATCTAAGTCATGTCAAAATGATTTAAAAGATTCTACTGGTTACATTATTGTTTACTGTTGAGACATTGATATTGCCCCTATACAAAACTATTGGACACTAAGCTTATGTAAATCTACAAACATCGCTGAAGTTTATCAATATACAAGTCGGCCTTAGGAGACTAATTCATTTTGTGAAATTTTGGACATAAGCCTATGTTTGGCGAATCAGATCTCCAAAATTTAATGCTGAAAATTCAGATTTTATTTTCTTAAAAACAAAAAACAAAGATTCCTTATACAGAATGCACTGTATGAGGAATTGACATTTAAGAATTTGATATAGATGGATACAAAGTAAAACCAGGGAGGTATAAAAATACCTCCCTGCTGCAACAAGAGAGGGATTAGGTCTCTATGTTATAAAAATGGCAATTTGGTTTTTGTATTTTTGAACTGATTGGTTGCATATACATGAGTCCGGAACAAGAAGAAAAAATAGATTTGCTGATTGATATTTTTGTTGTTGAAGATGTAAACTATACTTAAAGTCCTTGATGAAATATATTCCAGAAAGTTGACACTGTGCAACTGACTTGAGAGAGGCGGATGTTGTCCCTCTGCTGACCAACAACAAAAGTGAACAGTAGACCTGCAAGGTCACCCACTCACGGAAAGGATATTTAAAAAGTAATTGACTACCAAACAAGTGAAAAAAGAATTTTATAATATTTGCAACTTTTTGGACTTTTTTAACAGTCCTTTCTAAAGAATAATTATACTTCATGGGAACTTCAGAAACTTGCACTGATTTGATTTGCAGACCCCTGACGTGTCTTTTCCAAAAATAATGTACCACACATTTTCATTGCTTACATTTTGAAATACAGTTTGCCCTCTAATTCGAGACCAACTTTGGGTGGTCTCGGGGTTTGGTCTCCAATTAAACGATTAACTTTGTGTTAAAAAATTGATTTAGAAGGTGCACTAT